GCATGCGCGTGGGGGCACCTGGGTAGCTGCCAGCCCAGCAGTATATGAGTAGGAGTGGGCTAGGCACCCCATATGTCACATCCATCTCGAGGCGCACCAGGAATGGCAGCGCCTGGAGAAGCGCAGCGTAGAGCGAGGGCGGTGCAAGCCAGGTTTTTTGAACTGCTTGCTGTGTTGTTCCTCGTCTCCTACCTTTGAGCACGCCCCAGTCAGGTATGATACCGGAGTGGAATCCATCGCCTCTCATACCGGTACGTACTACGTCATACAAGCGCGCACTCTGCGTCTCTTGTGAGGCGACATGTACATTTGAATCGCCCTCCTCGAGATCAATTTGGCGCCTAATCTGCCCGCAATGAGCCACCGCGGGCAAGCCATAGCTGCAGGGCAGCGGTATACGGCAAAAGTGGAGGCAGCGCGCGATGCGGCATTGCAGCAGGTAGCGACAACTCGCCGACAGCTGGCTGAGCAGCGCACGCAGTATCTTGAAGCTGAGATGCAGCGTGCGGCATCAGACAGGGAGCATGCCGCAACCAAACAGCAGCTTGCCGAGACAAAAAGGCAGCTCGCCGAGGCGCATGCGAAGATTGCCATGCACCGCACAGGAGCGCTGTGCAACACCCTGGGAATCCACCTCGCACAAATGGCGCGCGGCGACGTGCAGCGGCTCGAGGGGGAGGTGTGCAAAGCGCGAGCAGGGCGGCAGGCCCTGGAAAAGGTAGTGGAGGAGCTGCAGCAGAAACTGGCACAGCAGGGCAATGAGGCCGCCGCGCTGGGCGAGGTATCGGAGCGGAAGGACAGGCAAATGGCGGAGCTCCAGGCGGAGGTCGCCGAGCTGAGGGCGAGGCTTGCGGACACCCGCGAGCACCCGGCAGCGGCGCAGGTGCGCGCGGGGCACGCACGTGCCGGGGAATGCGTGCGGGGCCGGTGCACCGTGGTGCTGTTACGTTTACGCACACCCCTGAAACCTCACCCACCCACCCACGCCCCCCCCCTTGCCCCTGTCGTTGCTGCACCATGACCTCCAAGCCTGTGAAGCCAGCTTCGGCGGCGGGCGCGGGGGCGGGCGGCGCGGTGCCGGGCAGCACAGGGGAGGGCGCCCTCGCAACGAGCGCCGAGCCGGGGACCGGCATGCGTGGTGCAGGCGGGACGTCTGGGAGCCGCGGGACTGAGAGGCTCAGCGCCCCAGCCTCAGACCAGCCAGGGTCCAAGGTGGCGCGCCGGTCGGCTGACGGCGGCGCAGCGGCGGCGCCGACGCCGGCGCCGGCGGCGGCAGGAGCAGCGCCGGGAGCACTGACAGCGACGAGGACGGCAGTGGCGGCGTGTGCGGCCGCAGGGACGGAGCGCCGGGACAGCGCGGCGAGGTTCCAGACGTCGGAGCGTGCGGAGGCGCCCAATACAGGTGAGCGGGACGTGCGCATGGGGCGTTCTTGAATGGGGGTAGGTGAAATGAATGGTGCGTATACAAAAGCTTTAGAAGCATGTATGGTGAGGGGCGCAAGGCCAGCTGCCCGAGTCTGGATCCGGTTGGCCGCGCACCCAAGCCAACAGTGGGCATTGTTGGCTTCAGTAAAGCTGGGCGCCTACGCCACACCCCAAACTCGCACCTTCCAAGCATCCAGGCTGAGCGCACGCACACTCCCAAGCTGGTGTCAGGCGTCGTCGGCGGCGGCGAGCCTGCGGTGAGGCTCTTGTGGCCGGGCGGCTGTGCCACGACTCCCTGCCGCCTTCCAGGCCTGCCTGCATGCCAATGCCCAGCCCCATAAGACCGTGCTGCCGGCTAGACGCATGCCCACCACCTGCATTACTTCTTAAGGCCGTACCAATGCCGTTCCTCCGGCGCAGGCTGCCCACACGCCCGTTCAGAAGGAGGCCGCGCTGCCAGGCGCGACGGCGCGAGATGGGCCAATGATCAGAACGCACGCTGCCGCAAAGCCCCGAGCCAGAATGGTCAGGACGTCCGGCGAATTGGAGCGGCTGGCACGCAGGGGGGCAAATGGCGATGTCGCAGCGCTCGACGCGCTGGTAGGTTTCATACGCGGCGGTGGCAGCAGGGTCGCAGGCAGCGCCGCTCGGGACCTGCACGCCATCGTCGAGAGCGGCGGCCGTGAGGTGGCGGCACGGGTTGCGGTTGCGGGCGCGCTCGACGCGCTGATGGGTCTGATCAGCAGGGGTGACAGCGAGGCCGCAAGCTGCGCCGCTTCGGCCGTGGGGGCCATCTTGGGCAGCGGCTGCGGCGAGATGGAGATGCAGGTCGCGGCAGCGGACATGCTCAACAAGCTGGTGGGCATGATACGCGGCGGTGACAGCAGCGCCGCAGGCCGCGCCGCTAAAGCCCTGCATACCGTTGTCATGATCGGCGGCAGCCGCGAGGCGGCGGCGCGGGTTGCGGGTGCAGGCGCGCTCGACGCGCTGATAGGTCTGATCAGCAGCCGTAACAGCAAGGCTGCATTCTGCGCCTTGAAGGCCGTGGTTTGCATCACTGAATGCGGCTGCGGCGAGATGGACGTGAGGGTCGCAGCGGCGGGCGAGCTCAACAAGCTGGTGGGCATGATACGCGGCAGTGACAGCAGCGTCGCAGGCCGCGCCGCTCGGTGCCTGCACGCCATCGTCAAGAGCGGCGGCAGCGAGGTGGCAGCGCGGGTCGCGGATACGGGCGTGCTCGACGCGCTAATACTTCTGATCAGCTGCCGTGACAGCGAGGCCGCAAGCTGCGCCGCTTCGGCCGTGGGGGCCATCATGGGCAGCGGCTGCGGCGAGATGGAGATGCAGGTCGCGGCAGCGGACATGCTCAACAAGCTGGTGGGCTTGCTACGCGGCCGCGACAGCTACACCGCAGGCCGCGCCGCTAAAGGCCTGTGTACCATCGTCACTGGGTGTGGTGACGAGATGGTGGCGCAGGTCAGGAAGGCGGGCGCGGTCGAGGCGCTGCAGGGTATCTTACGTCGCCCTGGCAGCTGGGCGGCAAGCTGGGCCAGCGTCGCCCTGCGCGCCATCAACACGAGCTGAGGGGGCAAAACGGCGATGGCTGCCTCTAACACACGTTTGGTTTGAGCGCCCGGCCATCTGGTCACCTGCACACGCTTTGCGCCGCTGTTTGATGCGGCGGCAGTCCTCTTCTCTCGTGCAACAGCGGCAACCCCTGGCTTAGTTTGTATATTGCTGCTTTGAGCGCATCTCCTGATCCAGCTTGGCTTTGACTACGAGTATTGAGCTTTTCCTGCCACAGTTTCCGCCGCCATGCGCCACGCCTTACTAGGGCCCTTGCTGCACACCACGCAGCCGCACCATCGCAAGAACTGCGGTGCGCAGCCAGCAGACGCATGCAGTGGGGGAGGGCCTGAGTCATGCACCTCCCGAGCATCCCGCAGTGCCTGATGAATTGCAGCCTGCACTTTTGTTGCGTTACCACATTGCAAAGCAGGTCTCATGCATGCGATGCTTGCATGCGTGCGTGCTTCACTCCAGTCAACTGTGCACCCACAAGTCCCACTTTGGGCCATGATACCTTATTCACAACAAGCAACGCAGAAATATCAAAACATTTCGACGCGGCTAGCCTATCTATATACATGTAACGTTTGCCAAATGCCAAACGCAGCGAAGAGGCGCCTGGGACTGCGCTCCAAGGGGTGCAGTCTATAGTCTGTCGTCCCTGCGCACCAAGGCCATGTTTGCCCTGCAAACGCCCAGCTATTGCAGCTGCTGCCGCTGTCGCTGCTGCTGTTGCTGCTGTTACACCAAGACTTTTCTCAGATGCGGCCACTCTGTCGGCCGTACTGCAGTCCCCCCTGCTTACCCACACATAGCAGGACTGGTGATGAGGGGCTAAGCGCTGAACGTGCGCACTCTGAAGGGGTTCAGATGAGACTAGTGTATACTGTGCTGCCTTGTGCTCAGCTTGCCTAAGGTGGTACAACGCAGCCGCTGGAGCCTGAATTGTGCAACGCAGAGCTGTGCAGCAACGGCGAGGTGAACTGAGGCAGTCCCCAGGGTTGACCATGACGTGACACCAGAAACAGCATGCAAAACTGACGAAATGCATTCGTTTGTTTTCAAGTGTTGTGTTACAAGCAGCGGGTCGCAGCCGCCGCAAGGCCCAGGGCGCGCAGCGCCACTGCGCAGTGCAGCGGCAGCCGCTCAGGCGCGACCCCGCCGCCGCCGCCGCCCATGGCGGCCATGTCCTGCAGCGCCCGCACCCCCCTGGGCGCGCCCAGTGGCCGCCAGCAGCCCGTGAGGGTGCACAGCCCGGCCAGCTCTGACGCGACAGAGGCTGCCGCGGCCGCCCCCGCAGCAGCGCCCGGCACGGCCTCTGAGTCGGGGTCTGCCGCCGCTGCCGCCTGGCCGTCGCTCTCCGGCGCCAGCCGCGGTCGCTTATGTAGAGGGCCACCCACACCGGCGCCTGTCTGACCTGCGGCCGCAGCAGAGGGCTGCGGCCGCGAGGCCAGGGCCAGCACTGTCACGTCGAGCGCGCGCACCAGCGCGCCCGTCCCAATGGGCAAGGCGGCTTCCGCAGCGCCACTCGGCCGGCCTACAAAAGCCACGCGCGTGGACGCCAGCCCAAAGCCCGGACAGGCCTCGCCATCGCCGCCGCCATCGAGGCCGCCACCGCCGGCCCTGTTGCGGAGCGGCACGGGCTGCAGCAGAAGAGTGCGCCCCGCCTCCTCGCCCGCGCCGGCGTCCCCCGCGAGCAGTGCGGCCGCGGCCCCTTCCGGCAGCGGCGCCGGCCCGCGAGCGTCCAAGCGGCACAGCACGACCTCCCGCAGGCCGCCCCGCACGCCGACGCCGCCGCGTGGCGAGGCCGCCGCTCCAGCCGCCGCTGGCGCGCCCTTGGTCGCGGCGGCGATCGCAGCCTCCAGCGCCGACGCTGGCTCCGGTGCGGCACCACCAGCGCCCGCGCCGTCGCCGGCGTTGACCGAGGGTTGGCTGAGCAGCGCGCCACCGCCGGCCGTCGCGCCGCCGGGCGCGCCTCCCGCGTCCCCCCAGCCCTCGGCCTCGTCCTCTGCTGCCTGCGACCCGCCGCCGCCCCCGCCGCCCCCATCCAGCGGCGGCGACGCCGCTGGCTCGAGCCCCGCGCGCGTCGCGGCGGCGCAGCAGGCCGCCGCCCAGGCGCGCTCGTCCTCCGGTGACAGCGGCCCCACCAGGCAGATCGCCAG